CTCTACCCTTTGACTCCCCAAGAGCCTGTTTCAAAATTTTTCTAATGTCTTCCATCATCCTACTCCACATAACGTTAGTCTCATCCTCTAGGTTCCATAAGGTCTCCTTAAATATTTTACTCCTAAATAGTACTAGTTTCTCATCTTTTAGATTCCACTATCTCGTTTTTATTTTTCTAATGTTTCTTCTTATTTTATGATGTCATTTAATATATAAATCTAAGATTGTTAGCCTATGTTGAGATGTTAAGCTTTCTCGCGGGATAACCTTACAATCTTTACACACTAACCCGTCCGTTCTTCTACTTAAGAAGTACTCTACTTGACTTTTGTTTGGTCCACTCTTAAAGATATTTAGATGTTCTTCTCGTTTTCTAAATAAGGTATTTGCCACTACAAGGTCATAGGACATTACAAACTCTAAAATACTCTCTCCGGCTTCATTTGGATCACCATATTCATAACCACCATGAACCCTCTCTTATTGTGTCCTATCTTTTCCTACATCTCCATTGAAATCTCCACATGTGACCATCTTTTCTCCTATAAGTATATATTAAAACTAATTCATTCATTTGCTCCCAAAATTACTTTTTAATATGTTCCTCTAACCCTACTTGAGGTGCATAAGTGCTAATTGCATTAATTATATTCTCTTCGACTACAAGTTTGATAGATATGATTCTATCTATTTTCCTTATAGTTGTTACTACGCTATCTTTAAGCCTTTATCTACAACTATTCATACTCCATTTCTTCGTTTATCCTTTCATTTTCTTCGTCTAATGCAACCCTCCTCCTTTATCCTGGAATGGAACAGACAGTATTGAATACAACGGAGTTAAAGTATTACCACAATTCCTAGGTCATAATGATCATTTTGGCATAAGAGACAAAGGCTAGTTGATGAAACGGTTAAAAAATGGGAAAGGAAGACTATCAATAAGGAGCAAGGGGTCCGAACGATAGTGCCACCGTCCCGACACCACCCATGTCAAAGCAAATCTGACAGGAATCAAACAAACAATTGCTGAAGCTGTTTTGGAGGCGCACATCATTTTCACCACCGTCCGAACGCCCTAGGAAGAATCATGCAAAATCCTTTCTAGAGAATTCATGGCGTTCGAACGCCATGGCAACCGTCTTGGCGCCTTTGTCAGAAGATGAATTTTTGTGTAGGCCTCTAGCTCCGATTTTTTAGAGTGGCCCCGATTTTTTAGGCTTCTCTCTGTATAAATACCCCTTTGGCCATGGAATTGAACATCAATTCTTCTGGCTCTTTTCTCTCTTGTATTGCTTTCATTTCTTAGTTATAGTTATTTCTTTTGGAGAGATTTCTCTTTACTTTTTATCTCTCATTCTTCTTGTTTTTTCATAACAATAAAGAATGAGTAGTTCTTTATACTTTTTAGTTAAGGTTAAAGGTCTTGTAAGTATTTATTTGGATGTTTTATTTATGCAATCATTCTTAGTTTAATGTTATGTCTTTCTTTCTTAAGGTCAATTGAATAACTTTGTAATACCTTGATACTTTATATAAGTTGTTTGATTGTTTATCAACAAGTTAAGCCTTGGTATAAACAATACTTATGATTCCTTGCATGGATTAATGCTCGGCCTTTATACTTACACATTCAATCTCCGAAACATTATTGGTTGGAGAACTCTATTCTTTTGTATATACTAATTTATTTTTTTGTATATGTGTTGTCTTTCTTATTTTTTATTTTAATTGTGTTGAGTCACGTCTTTTATGTGTGGTGAGCATTAAACTACTACTACTATAAAAAAATACTATAAAAAATGCTATTGGGACAAAGAAAACTAAATTAATTTATTGACCTAATGATGTCGTAGTGATGTGGTCGAATAATGTTATTGTAATTGTAATTCTTAGACTTTTTCATTGAGACTCTATTACTTGACACATCATTATATCAATAAATTAGATCAATTTTTTACGTCTCAATAGCATTACTCCTCATATACAAGATTTGCCATTAGAAGAGTCGGTAAGTTCTATGAATCAATCGAATCCATCTACTCCTCGATCGCTTACTTCTTCTACTTCCGACTTAAGTGTTGTAAGACATTAAATGGATCATAATCGCCAAGAGGAGTAAGTAAATGCACAGAATGGTAGAACTCACTTGCATCCCGTTCATAGTAGTGTTCATTCGTGCTTTATACTACCTGTAACTGCTGGTAATTTCAACATTAAATCGGGGTCAATACAATTGCTACCCCAATTCCATGGGCTAGAATCTGAGAACCCATATCTGCACATTAAGGACTTTGAGGAGGCGTGTAGTACATTTCAAGTTGCAAACGCCAACCAAGAGATAACCCGTCTAAAGCTCTTTCCTTTCTCTCCTATAGATCGAGCTAAGATGTCCTAAGACCACAATCTTGTTGGTCATTTGTTGATGGCATGGTTGATCTCTCCATAGCCAAAAACTTTCTTGATTCAGTGACGTGTGCAATATTGGAGTTTGTAGAGTAGGGCGATATAGGGCATGTTGTTCGTAAAAGGTTGAAACTTCTAGCTTTTTTCAAGAAATTGAGGACAAATGAAGTGCCTCTGATTGATTCGAGAGGAGCCCAGTCCTAGAGTGCTTTTGTGTTGTACAACATTATTTTCCAATCAACCAACAAGGCAAATCCTACCTAAAAACAACCATGTCTAAATGCTAACAAACCCAAACCTATGGCCAGACATTCCCATCACTTCAAATTCCAAAGCCCAAGACAAAGATTAGCAGACCATGAGGAAGTGTAAATGTTAAATGAGATGGCGGAATAGGTGAATCAATATTCTAGCACACCATGATTTAAGACACTGTTTGTATCGACTTATTACACAACTGTTGGAGTGATGAACTAATTCCACAAACTCTTAACATTAGGTAATAGTATAGGGAGACATAATTGAAAGAAAAGGGCGGCCTGGGAAGAGTCAGATTTACACAGCCTTACCCCACATGCGTAGAGGTTTAATTCCTGTAAGCGAGGAGTGAATACAAACCTGAACATTAAAAAGCTGCACAGAAAAATGATTCCGGTCGTGTTAAATTCTACAATCTTCTTTGTACAACTTCAACTTCCATGACTAAAGCTACACCGACAACAAATTATCAGCATTCTTCATCTTCCACACAAACTGAAAGACGAAAAGGCCTTTATCAGTAGAGGAACATGAATCTTTTTAAAAATCTAGCAGGTGTAATGGCACAAAATATGGCGCATGCAGTTCTTTTCTTAGATTCAGTACCAAGGAGAATGTAATTTTTTATTCATTTGTTGATGTTCAAAATAGATATGAATAAGGCGTTAAGAAACCAATTAAATACAATGAATCTTGCAGGTATCCGATATAGCAAAGGATAAAAACACCTTCCAAGAAATTCCCATTCCAATTTAACCCTAACATTTCAATAGCACATAAAAAGAATCTTACATAATCACAAGAACCGATATACAAAATTTCAAAGAGAGAAAAAAATGTAATTGTATCCAAACCTCCTGCTCCAATAATCAAATTAAAAATAGAATTCCAATGCACAAATATCAGCATCAGAAAGAAAACACATGGATTCTGCGCTTACTAATTAGATGATAAGTTCATAACTAAGAAGGCACACTCTTAACATTAAGATATATGTAAGCAAGTAGCTTGCTGAAAATCAATCTAGCTCCTGTAATGCAGTTTAGTGTTGATAATTTGCATAGCCGGAAATGCACATTGTATGGAAGTTGTTGCAATTGGTGAAGTTAATACAAGATGAATCCATCTATTGATCAGAGGCTAAACTGGCGATTTTCTGGTTTACTCCAACATTACCAACTTCTTTTGAGACTCCAGAAGTTTATTAAAATAAAGCTCATAGTTTTGCAACTGGAATTTCAAATGTACTTTTATTACTCTATGAAATGCATTGGATAACATTTATCTACAAAATTGCAAATATCTTCAACTGCGCTAAATTTAAAACTGAGGCTAAAAACAAGCAACTCTATCACATCCTCGTCAAACCTGTTCTTCAATTATTGCAGCTGAGAATCCATTGTAAACATAAATATATCAATCCATTAAACAAAAATGATGTTCTATGGTAATGTGATTTACTTGATAACAAGAATGACCTGAATCCACCGTATAATGAGCACCCATATCAGGATTTTGATCTCACATGTAGGATTTCGATCTCATATTTTTCACATACTTATATCATTATCTCCAGCAAAGAAACCCATCCATCTTCTCTGAATTCTCACCTAGATCTAGTTTTTGTTTTGAACACTAGATGCTTTGAATTCCTTGCATATATTTTGAGATTTATGGTGCAAAGCTTGGCAAAGATCATAATAATATTCATGATCTCTCATAAAATGCAAAACTTCAAAAATTAGAAGCAAGATTTGATACTTGGCTATATATTGATAAATTTAATAAGCTAAATATAATTATATAAAGGAATGAACTCTTAATTTTTTTCAAAAAATATGGGTGGTGGAACTATAATTTTCAAAGTTAATACTTGTATAGTAATGGTTTTGGAAAAAATAAAAAAACTTCAGGGGACGATTGGCCCCCTCCCCTTACCCCAAATCCACCATTGGTTGGCTTAAGTTTGAATTACACAACTTCGCAAGCCTAAAGTGACTAAACAAGTGAATCTATTGTTGTTATTAGGTTTCCTAAACAAATATTTGACAATCCAGCACATTATTAATCATCAGTACTAAGCGACAGAATATGATGCTTGTAGATGAGGTTAATTATGACCCACCTCCATCACCAACGTAAATACATAGAACACAAAAATTAGATAAGGTTAATTAGCCTGGAAAAGGATTGATCCACCCTTACAAGCAGATAGAGTTCTCTACGAATAAATTGATCTGTTTATACAAATAGATTAACCTGGTTGATCAAGAGCTACTAAGAAATGCGAAATTCTGGAAAATTACATATTCACAATGGCAGGTCTGATATTTCATCACCAAGGCAATGGATAATCATCATCTTCGTTCTTGCCACCTCCTTCATAGTCAACAGTAATGTTTACCGGTCCTTTCAATTTCCGTCCACTAGTCACCTTAATTGGTAAACCTCCACATTCGGCCATATATCTGTTAACCATCAGATTTTAAACTAAGAGTAACCCTATATATTCTATAGATCCATGACCATGAGAAATTAACTCCAAGAATCATATGTCTTCCATCAGAAATAACAACCAACCTCTCAATAATCTCCTTGGAGGATGAACAGTTTTGAAACAGAAGTGAAGCTGCTTCAGTTATTAGTTAACAGCTCGCAGCAAAGATGGATACGTTTTATCAAAGGCTAAGGCTTCTAATGGCTTCCATTTTTACCTTTAGTAATCGATGTTTAATATCACATAAGCTAAGGCTTCCAGAAAAGACTGCCAAAATTTCTGGAGATCATGGACATATATTCCACTGCAAAACTAATTCAAACTGCTTATTTGCCCACATCAATTCTGTCTTGCCATCCAGCTCTGTCCGGGGACATACATCATTCACAAGCTGTTGTGTACTTGTTCGCATATCATAAGGTATCATATATTTCTTCACAATTCCAATCCACATTAATTTTTGACTTTCCCTTTTCCGTAACATCACCATCAATGGTGATCACGCCACCGCTATAGGAGTAGGTATTAGTCTTTGTGTTTGTTGCACATGCTCAAACAATTTAAATGCCCTTTATTGCCTATTGCTGCAATTTTTACACTCCACCAGATTAGATTAAAGAAGTACTTAAATTAAATCCACCTTCTAGCCACAAGCTATTCAGCTAAGATTACAACTTTGAATCAAAATTTAAAGGCCTATGCAGCTAATAGTCGGGCATCTGCTTCATAGTCTACGATTGTTTTTGGTTGTGATATTTAGGATATGTCAAAACTTTTGGCAGACCCAGAAAATTATAATATTTAAAAAGAATTGAGAGCAACTACATGCTACACACAGAATCACTAAACAAACATGTGGCTTAATTTTCCTCAATAAAAACAGACAAGCCCTAAAACCCTTTTCAAATCAATGAAAAACACGAAAGATTAAACAAAATAAAACCAAAACCATATAAAAAGAACCTCCATTCGAACAGGAAACACAACATAAATGGTGATGCACAGATAAAATTTGACAGAGGGAGAGGGGGGGACGGGAGAGAGGATGGGTACCTCCACAGCAGAAACAACAGTAACAGCAAGAGAGAATCATGAGTAGCTCTCTGCAAAGCACAAGGGCAACCTCACCAGGATTGCTCTTCGTATTGGGTGTTGGATCAACAGAAATATCTGATCCTCCATTATTACTATCGTCCAAGAGTTTTTGCTGGCTACTGCTTTGGGGCTGCCGATCCTTTTCGGTTTTCATTCTATGGAGGTTCCATTCGAGTTTCTTCAGGTATGCCTGCTTGAATGAGTCCCTTATTCTCATTGATGGCCATAGATGCATCTCTATGTCTCTCTCTCCCTCTGGTTTGTACGGAAACGCAGCAGGAAATAACTGAATTTAGGTTTTTTGTTTTTTGGTCAGCGAATTTTAGGGATTTAGGAAAATTGTACCCGAAGTCCCTAAATTATAAAATTGTTTCAATTTGATCTCAAATACTTTAATTATATCATTTTAATCCCTAAAATATTAAATATATTTTTATGTGGTTCCTCAAATAGACAATATTCAAATTACTAACAGTTTTTTGTCATAATTTATTACGAAGACAAAAAATAATTTAAGTAATTTTTGACAAAAAAATATGTAATATGAATAACTCTTAACCAAAATTTGAATAATTTATAATCAAACCTGTGTAATTTAGATAATTTTTTGACCAAAATTTTAGGATTAAAAAATCGCTAGAATTTGGACACTATCTACTTGATAGACCACACAAATATATATTTAATAGTTCAAATACTAAAATAATATAATTAAAGATACAACATGAGAAATATAACAACGGTGGAAACAACGTGAAAAGAGTTTATAATTTCCCCTCAATTTATATGTAATTCTAAGGGACGCAATTGTGGAGTTCCATTTGTATTGTATTTAAGTTAGAGACATTGTGTCGGATTAAAATTTATTTAACTTATATTCAACTCAATATAATTATGTACGTATAAAATTTTGTCACGTTCAAGTTCTTATTGTGTATTAATTGTATTTTACATCGGCTAATTTACTTGATGGATTTGGTTGGTCTATCAATTTACTATTTGGAGCCACTAAAACCTAAATTCACTAACTCTGCCAATTTCTCGATGGTACAAGGAATTTGTCTAAAATTGCTATATCACATGAACTTGATATAGTATAAATCTTAAAATCGTAAAAGAAGGACGAGTAATATATGAATTGAGTGTTTCTTAGACATGAATAACCTTTGTAGTTGTTGCAAAAAAAAGTTAAAAATTTTAATATATTTATCTAGTGTTGTATGACTAGTTTTATAATAAAATAGAATTTTACCAAAACGAACATTGACATGAAGAAGATACACATAAAAATGACATAATTCAATGTGATTTCAAATGATATTACAAAAGAACGACCTTAATATGCCTATTTGCAATTTAAGAGCGAATTCGATAATAAATCGCACTCTCAAATTTTTGAATCCACAAACTCAAAGGCAAATTTGTAAATTTAAATTTTAAACTATTTAAACCTTCATAGACCCAATACTATATAGGGTTAATTGCAAATTCACCTCGAAAAGATCGTTCGAATTTTAATTTGTACCCTCAAAGATAGAAATTTGTATCAATGTGTACCCACAAAGATCAAAAATCTCAATTTGCCCCTCAAAGATAGAAATTTGTATTAATGTGCACATAAAACTAATTGCTGTCAGTTTATTACTTAAAATTAAATTAATAAATTATATCTAAATCCCCTCATACTTGTCACTTAATCATTTGGACCTCTTCACATTTAGAATATTATTCTTACATCTCATGACGTTTGTACACATATAATACGTAACCATTTTTCGTTGATATCTGTTAATATAAAAAAATATGATTTTATTCTAATAAAAAATTATAATTTCATATTACCTTTTATTTTGTGGGTCCGATATACTCTAAAGTTCAAAATCTAACTTACCATTTGAATGTCCAATAAAATGTAAGTATTTATATAATATTTTTTTATATACAATGCAATATATTACTTAAATATAATTATTTAAATGCCCAATTGGGGGGACATTTTAGATTGAGGGTGCACATTGATACAAATTTTGTGAAAATTGAGATTTTTTTATCTTTGAAGATGCATATTGATATAAATTTTTATTTTTGAGAGTATAAATTAAAATTTTTAATTTTTAAAAAATATAAATTAAGATTCAAACGAACTTTCAAAATACAATTTACAATTAACCTACTTTATATTAGGCCAGCCCACTTTTCTTTGCAAAAGACTTTCCACCGTGGGCCTCACTCACATGCAAAAATTAGTGAACTGACCTCCCTCTAAGCCAGCTTCTCATCAAAAAACACTCCCTCTAGCCAGCCAATATAAGATGAGTGGCTAGAAGGATGTCATGCTGCCAGCTTTATTGGGAATGTCTTTGCTGCCAACTCTTACAGCCTTTAGATGTGGGATTTGATCCAAAAAAATAAAAATGGTTTTTACAGGCTTTTTTTTATTAAGCATTCACACTATTATTTTTAATTTGTATACATATAAATATTTATATATGCATATAGTGTGATGCTTTCAAAACGCCCATGCTCTAAGATTTTGTTAAAATTTTATGCTTTTGCCCTCCCGCTCTATGCGGCTTAGGACACGACCAAATTAACACACCTACTAAATTATAGCCTGTTTAATCCCATTTTGTGGAACCAAGTTGTGAGGCTGGGCCATGTGTTAAGCCTGATGTTGATTGGGATGGGTTTGAGTTTATTTGGACCACAATCTAAACCCCAAACAGTCATTTTACACAAAGAATAAGTGAGTTAGTTGATCAACCTAACAACTTACCTGCTTTGTACAAATCTAAGTGTAAAAAAACAAAAAAGAAGAATTTTGTTGATAAAAAATTATGAAAAATGGATCATTCTTTATTGTTGTTGTGTTTTTATAAGTGAGTTGATCAACCTAACAACTTACCTGCTTTGTACAAATCTAAGTGTACTAAATTGAAAAAAAAAAGAATTTTGATGATAAAAAATTATGAAAAATGGATCATTTTTTGTCGTCGTTGTATTTTTATAAGTTGAGAATTTAACTGCCTAACTTATAATGTTAGATAGATTTCCTTTGTGTTTGGAAGGGGTAATAGTGGATATTTACATATTAAAAACAGATTCATTAGACTTCACCTTGATGAAAAGTGGGATGCCTCGTTTGGTTGTCGTATAATAAAAGAACAAATTGTATTAGTTAATACAGACTAATTATATTTAAGCGAATAAAACACAAGATTAAATATGAGATATAAATAATACTTATTGTAATATAGTATTTGATAAGATATTGGATAAGAGTGAGATAATAGAGTACTAATTACATATTGACTAAAAAATCATCAATTTAATCTAGTTATACATGCTTTTGTTTGACTGGTGGGCAAAATAGTAAAATAAAACTTAATATANTGAGTTAGTTGATCAACCTAACAACTTACCTGCTTTGTACAAATCTAAGTGTAAAAAAACAAAAAAGAAGAATTTTGTTGATAAAAAATTATGAAAAATGGATCATTCTTTATTGTTGTTGTGTTTTTATAAGTGAGTTGATCAACCTAACAACTTACCTGCTTTGTACAAATCTAAGTGTACTAAATTGAAAAAAAAAAGAATTTTGATGATAAAAAATTATGAAAAATGGATCATTTTTTGTCGTCGTTGTATTTTTATAAGTTGAGAATTTAACTGCCTAACTTATAATGTTAGATAGATTTCCTTTGTGTTTGGAAGGGGTAATAGTGGATATTTACATATTAAAAACAGATTCATTAGACTTCACCTTGATGAAAAGTGGGATGCCTCGTTTGGTTGTCGNAGACATATGATGAGATTTAGCCTCTTGAAACTAGGGTTAAGATTGCTCTATCAAATCTTATTATCTTATTATTGGCGATAGCGTTACATACTAGTATGATATTTTATTTGAATAAATAATAAATCACATCATCTAGAATGTCAAATACTAAAATTGGTGATCCAACTCCGTCTCCAAGAAATTTGTTTTTTGGTCTCTACCTATGTCATCGTTCAACAAGAAAATTTTTCTATTGCATAATTCTACGGATAAACCTCTAAAAATTTATTCACCCTTTTTTTTTTTTTNTTATTGTAATATAGTATTTGATAAGATATTGGATAAGAGTGAGATAATAGAGTACTAATTACATATTGACTAAAAAATCATCAATTTAATCTAGTTATACATGCTTTTGTTTGACTGGTGGGCAAAATAGTAAAATAAAACTTAATATAGTTTTATTGTATTGTAATACCACTTCTTCAGCTGGTATTGAAATTGGCTCAATAGTACGGGTATAACGTATTATTTCTATATATATATATATATATCTTTTTTTTATGTATACGAAAATAAAATTAGGTATAATACGAAGTATTTTTAGCAACCAAACGTAATATAATTTTTTTTTTGATTAGGAACGTAATTTAAAGTTGAATTAGAGAATTTTAATATGTTATGACTCCTTGATACACATGGGCTAGAATAGACTCCAAAATCAATAAATTTATTAGGAATTGAGTTTAGAATACTGATTTATGTTGGGCCGAGTCTTAGCCAGAACCCATATCACATATTGGGCTGGCCTTCCGCCATCAAAAAGCCCAACCTATGTCCACCTTGTCGCCATCATGCTTCTCCTAATTAAATCGCTCTCCCTATGGTGATGGGCATTGTTTTGCTAACATCCATAGTCAAATTCGGATTGTCGGGTGCATCTAGAACGGTATACTATTCGTGTGCCTTCGAGAATTCCAATAGTACCCAGGGAAATAGTTCAACCTCTGCTATATTACTTGTGATATACCAACATTAATTAAAATAAAATAACAAACTTTACAAAGCAAGGCAGGTTCATTCACCGAGCTAGTGCCTTGCTTTCTAAGTAAAATACGTTTGTATCAGTTTACTTTGACAACATGCAGAAAGCCTTAAACGAGAGAGAGAGAGGGTGCTTAGAATGAGTCCACTCCATGCTTCTGGAACGGTTATGCCATGGAGTCTAATACCTAGGTCTAGGTGGGAGGAAAGTAAACAAAGGAGGGCGAGGGGGCATGGGGAGGGGAGANACGCAGAAAGCCTTAAACGAGGGAGAGAGAGGGTGCTTAGAATGAGTCCATTCCATGCTTCTGGAACGGTTATGCCATGGAGTCTAATACCTAGGTCTAGGTGGGAGGAAAGTAAACAAAGGAGGGCGAGGGGGCATGGGGAGGGGAGATTTGGTTTCTAGCTTTGGTAAATGAAAATCCTAGGTGGGTGTACCTGGTGGGGCTGAAATTAAAGTTTTTTTTTTTTTGGAAAATGAATTTCTTGGTCAATTGATCAAGTTATATATTAAACAAAATGGGTAATAGTCAAGGTAGAGTTTGATCGTGGTATGAATAAAGAAAATCGGTACCATAGCATTTATCACTTTTTTTAGTATTTATATCACATTTTCAGTTAAACTTTCTAGTTTTTGAGCTGTAATCACTTTTTCAAGTTTATTTACTACTTTATTGGATAAAATTTATCATTATTTTAGATAAAATTTACTATTTTTATGAGTTTTTTTTCTGTTTTTTGGTTTTAAAAAGTAAAATGTCAATAATGTAATATTTCTCATGAAGTTAAAGCCTTGATATGATTAACTTTCTTTCCTTGCAGTAATTTGTAAAACTATAGCCTTTAGTTTTGCCTGTTAGTTAGGCTACTCTAATATAGGTTCTTTCATTTGTTTTTTTTTTTTTAAAGAAAAACTCAATTTAACTTTTTTCTTNAAAGCCTTGATATGATTAACTTTCTTTCCTTGCAGTAATTTGTAAAACTATAGCCTTTAGTTTTGCCTGTTAGTTAGGCTACTCTAATATAGGTTCTTTCATTTGTTTTTTTTTTTTAAAGAAAAACTCAATTTAACTTTTTTCTTTTTTTCGTCAAAAAAAATGTTAAAAGACCACCTCAATAGACTCTCACTAATAGAATCATGAAGCTCTTAACCGCACTCATTACTCTTCTAGAAAATAAACCTAACTAAACTAATATAACAGTTAATCACCGAACCCCAGTATAAATTTTAAGATTTGAACCTCCAACCTCAAAGTAAAAAATTCAATGGGTACCTCATTAAACCACCTCAATTAATCTAACTGAGGAGGATCAAACTTCTTGCCCAGTTGGTCCCGCTCCCTATGTCTCCATGGATGAAAAATTCTAGCCGAATTTGAGAATAGAAATGGTGATTGGCCATGTTGTGTGTTGAGTTTGTCTCATGTCTAGTGCCATATTAAAATTAGTTCAACTTATGCGTGACATATTTATTTTTGTGTGATTCAATTTGTGTTAGCGCATGATCCAATTAGTCAGGAGTGCGGATGGATACGTTTGACCTCGTTTTTGGATTTAAACACACAACCTCGTGATTATTAAATTCAACAATCTTACCACTATACCAAGTAATCAGCATCGAACTATTTTACTTTGCTTTTGTATTGTGGAATTATTAATGTGACAAATTTTAGTTTATTTGTATTGCTTTGTTCTATTTTTGGGGCATAAATTTTCTTAAAACAAAGAAGACATACAATTGTTTGAATTCATTTTTCATTAATATCCTAATTTCGGTGTAAATGGTCTATCTTTTACTGAACCGAAAAAAAAATTAGTCAAAATATGTATAGACTGATTTGAATACTCCTGACCATTAAACCAAAAAAAAAAAAAACACATCCAATAGTTCGAACTTATAGAGAGCAGTGCATATCTAATCCAACTTTAAAAACTCATGTACCATTGGAGGACAAACACACTACCAAATGCTTCCCCAAACCCCACCCATCCTTCATGTTTTTATTTTTTTTAGTCGGACGGACTGTCTTTCATGTTTTTTGATTTGGTAAAAGAATGCCCACCCCCACCACAAACAAACAAATGTTGGATTTTCCAGATTCTGNTTTTCTGTTTTTTTTTTTTTTTAGTCGGACGGACTGTCTTTCATGTTTTTTGATTTGGTAAAAGAATGCCCACCCCCACCACAAACAAACAAATGTTGGATTTTCCAGATTCTGTGGACCTCCTCTCTAAACTTTATCTTGGTGTCATAACCGAAAGTGGCAATTTCAATGTTTGANCCCACCCCCACCACAAACAAACAAATGTTGGATTTTCCAGATTCTGTGGACCTCCTCTCTAAACTTTATCTTGGTGTCATAACCGAAAGTGGCAATTTCAATGTTTGATTGCTCATGCGAAATGATGAAATCTCGATACATCTTCAAGTATCTCTAATTAAATCACCGTTTACCCCTTTCACCGGCTAACCAACATATCGGTTAGATTTAAACCCTGGACTTTTGAACTTACGAAAGCATATATTTAGGTCTCTCAATACACCAGATTCTAATATAAATTCAATTCAGATCTGAATTTGATTAATCAGATATATTATATTTTATAAATTTGGATTTGAATATACCTATATCGGATCTGATTATGATTCGATCCGAATTATTTGAATATTTCAATATAAATATTAAAGTAATTTAGGGATTATTTAAAAAAATTATTTGAAATTTATGTATAATTTAATAAAATTTAATTAAGTTATTCGTATCAAATTGATTTTTCAGATCAGAATTCAAATTATTAATCCGTCAAATTATTGAATTGAACTTTTGAAAACGAATTTGAATCAATGGAAATTGAAGAGCCCTACATATATGAATGCACTATAAAAAGGTTGGAGAAAATTAGAAATTGAAGAGCAATAATAACATTCAAAGTTAAAGTGCTAAGAACAAAAGTGATACAAAAAGCTTTCCCTTCCCACATAGACTACTTCATCTACATTGCCATATCTCAAACATTCTCATATCCCTCCCATAGCAGCAGACCACCATACAAGCAAAAGCTTTCCTCCATTATTCTTTTTCTAGTAATATCATTTTTCCTCCTTTCAATAACTTCTAGCAAAAACCATGGAGAAGGAATAGAACCCACGATAACTTCGACAACTCGGGATTTTCGATATCAAACAAGGGAACTGCTCCTGATTGAACCAAGAGCTTTAACGGCACCAGCTCTCAAGATAAACTGGTGGTAGAAGGCAGCAATGGCAGCACCAATGAAGGGTCCAGCCCAATAGATCCACTGAAAAATATTAAAATGGAAAATTAAATAATTATAGGCAGCAATAATTAACGACGGAAATTTATCATTTAAAAGAATTTTCGTAGATAGAATATACTGACATGGTGATCCCAAGCCTTGCTCTGGTTGTAGATCACGGCAGCCCCAAGACTCCTAGCCGGATTGATGCCGGAACCGGAGATATGGATGGTGGACAGGTGAACCATGAACACAGCAAATCCAATTGGAAGAGGTGCCAACACCTTAAATTTTCAAAAACAGACCACCACCAAATAATTAGTCTTCATTTTCCTATTTTAGATTTTAGAAAATTAAACCGAGTTTTGCCACTTCAAACCAACTCGTTTCTTTAAGTGAGTTTAAAAAATTATTTAAATAAAATGAGATGAGCTCAACTGGAAGCCAAAATTGAGTCGAGTCGAATAGTTCAATTATTTTATATATAAATGAGTCTAAACAATTATTTAAATTAAATAACCCGATCTCGAACACAGTCGAACATTGGGTGCAACATCAACTCCAAAACTCATTTATGAGATGTCCAGTAAACAAACCAAGCCAGTGGTCCAAATTGACGATTTCTAGGAAGCAAAACGGACAACCCGTGCCTTTAAAGCTCTGTACTGGTTATTTGTTACAACTACCACAATGTCTCTCCAACATTACCTCAGCCATCACATGCTATTAAATAGCATCCCTATCATTTACCCTACCCACATGTACACACCTATGCAACGGTATCGAAAAATATTTTTTGTTACAAAAAAAAAAAGAAAAAATTATAATTTTTCAAAGTTAAGTGATATTTTTTAAAGAACAATGCTATTAGAACATAATTTATGAATATAATTTAAAGACATAATAACTTGTCACTAATGATATGATAATAAATTTATTAATGCTATAATGAGACTCATCATTAAATATATTTCACTATCATTTCACTGGTGACAATTCATTATGTTTTAATAGCATTAATACTTTTTAAATGTGAAAGTACGACTAGGTGAAGTTATTCGTGATCAACCACAAGATTGATCATCGAATATAAAAAACCTCAATGAACTGTAATTTTATTGCTCATAAATACCTTAATTTTAACGTAAAAATTCATAAAAATACACATAAACTAATCCGACTACATCTCACCTCACCGTTACATAAAAAAGGGGCATTATGATCTTATAACTTTAGAGTTTAGAATGTTAGAAGTGGAGGAATGTTTGGGGTGCTTACAGGCACATGGGAATCTCTGGCGCTTCTCTTGGGATCAGTGGCTGAGAAGACGGTGTACACAAGAACGAACGTTCCTATGATCTCAGCAGCCAATCCAACGCCGGTGCTGTAGCCGAGGGCGAGCTCGTTGGCCCCACCACCGTACTTCTTGTAGTCAGACTTCTGGAAGGCCTTCACGAGCCCAGCACCACATATGGCTCCTGAACACTGAACCACCATGTACATCAGAGCTCGGATCAGTGACACCTTTCGAGCCAAGAACATCCCGAAGGTCACTGCTGGGTTTATGTGACCCCCTGCTCATACCATCAAGAACACAAGATCATTGTCAACTAAATATCATCTAGAGAGTTTTCTTTTTTTCTTTTTGGTAAAAATATTTACAGATAATGGCTAAAATTATGATTTCGGTTTTAAAAGTTCCTCAAATAGGGATTTATCTCAATTTAATCCTTAAAATCCTATATTTTTGTAATGGGTCTTTTTCGTCCATTTTAGATGCCAAAACAGATGGCCTTCGTCTCTTTTTTTTTTTTTTCCCACCAAAGCATTTTGTGTTACGTCCAATGATTTCACCCCTTTTTTTCCTCCTATCAGTTCGTTGTCAATTAGTCAACTCCAGTCCATCAAAAGATTGTCGACCTTCACAGTTATTCTGGAAGTGACAATGGCAAGGGGGAGCTGGACACTAATTGTGATAATGGAATGACTAAATTGGACCTAGTCAACCCGAACTGTTTTGCCTTTCAAGACCCTTAACAAGACTACAAAGAACAAAATGGAAATATAAAAGTCGGAGAAGAAGGAAATAGAAGAAGTAAGATTGGAACTTGCAACCACCACCGACACAGAACGCGAGACTTAAAAAATAATAAACCATAGATAGTTTAAGAGTTCATATTTTCATCATGCCCTGCCATAACAAAGACACGAGATTTTCATATGGAAAATATTATCTGTTTTGATACGTGAAATAAATCTAAAAGTTCGTGGAATAAATTAAGAAAATGAAAAGCTTAAGGGTCATTATAAAACCGGAATTATAGTTCAAGGGATCTTTATGTTATTCATCCAAATTTCTTTTCATGAATTTCCTTTGTAAGAAAATTAAGCTGAGAAAGAAAAAACCCACCAGAAATACCAGCAGTACAGTAGACAAGAACAAAGATCATGCCACCAAAGGCCCAAGCAATCCCAAGAATGCCAACACCACCACATGGGTTATTATTGTTTTTGTCCGGATCAATCTGACTCTTGTACCCTATCACGGTCAAGACCCCTATATAAAGGAAGAGGAGAGTGGCAATAAACTCAGCAATCAGAGCTCTGTAAAATGACCATTTGGTCAGCTCGTCCGCGCCTATGAGTGGTGCTGGTGGTGGGTCTTGGTAGTCCTTGCCGGGAAAAGACCCATGCTCAGCCAGCTTCGTCTCCTTAGCCATAGATCACAACTTAACTCTGCCTGTGTCTGTAAGAGAGAGAGAGAGAGAGAGAGAGAGAGAAGCAAAATGGGTTAGTGAGAGAGGGAGAGGCCTGCGGTTGGAGTTGGAAAAGGAGTGAAAAGGAGGGGTATAAATGGAGAGGGAAGGTGGGGGGAGAGATTGGGTTGTCATTACTTTTTGTGGAATTGTTGTGATGCAATGAAGGACAATTTTCCGTCCGGACTGATCAATTTCGCTTTCACCGTCCCACCAAAGAAAGACTGACCCAACCACATGCTTCCACATTTCTATGTTTTGTTTAACGGCTAGTCTTGTGCATCCCGCGTCATGTAATTCAGCCCCTTTTGTGTACTAAACAGCACGAGTCTAGTCCTTCGAGTTTTGATAATGTTCAGAATTAATTTTTTTTTTTAAATTGGGTGTTCAAGTTCTTTTGGGTTTAATAATTGGTCATCGTATTTTCACCTAGGTTAAAATATGTCCCTGTGACTACTTATTAAAGGGTATGAGAAGAGATAAAACTTGAGATCTCTAGGTTATCAAAAGTCAAATACAATTACTGAATCATCCTAAATGTCACGAAGTAATTTTCGTTTTTCTTTCGAGATTATCTGTGAAGACGTTACTATTGCAACCAGCCACACACAAACTCAAGAACAAGGAACAGAAACTCACACAAAAAGTACACACGAATTTATTGGGACAAATCTTCCAAACCTTATATACTGAACTCAACAATTTAAAAGAAACTCTCAAAGCCAGAACACTCTCTCACTATCAGAATGCTTAAGCACCCCTAATTATACAGGAGTAAGGCAGATGACACCCTCATCTGCCAAGGGGTAGTTACACACGTTTTTGCTATTCCATAGCATACTTGGCTAGCAGGCTTGGTTTCTGTACGACACCTGGCAGACAGTTCCACCCCTTTCAGTAACTGATGTAGAATTGTCCTTCATCAGCATGCATCTAGACTGAATTCAGACTAGGGACACCCAGAACTGCCTCAGTAACTGCCTTGACTGTGTTTCAGCATTTACAGTTGTCCACATCCTCCTAGTCACATGCATTGAGCAGCCATGTGCCAATCATGTGTCCACTTTCAGCAGTTAGTCTTGCTTCACGAACCAATGTGCATGTTGGATTCAACCCATGCCATGCAATCCGAAGTTATGCACTCATATTGCTTCAATTGAGCCCACCACATGCTACCATGTTCAACCGGGTGGTCTCATGCTGCCTTGGTTCGCCCCAATCTGTCGAACCACTTAGTCGCGTCACCTTTATTTCAACTTATAGCATGCCTTGGTGCAAGGTGCCACCAAGATCGGCTATTTGCATCCAAGTCAGTTAGGGTGTGACAAGTCACCCCCACATGAAGTATTCAGTGACCTCATTGGAATGGAGGCATGATATTGCTTGATGAGATCCTCAAATTGCCACAATGTCATCTCTTTCTCCCAAGTGGCTTCCTCCGGTGCTTTCTCTTTCCACTTGACTAAGTAATGAGTTCTTCTATTTTTCTTACTTATTCCCTCAGTCTTGCGGTTAAGAATAGCTTCAGCTATTTCTGTGAATTGCTTCCTAATTGTTGGAGGAGCCTGACGCCAAACGTATCTGGTGAGGTCCTCCGGATCCTCAATATAAGGCTTCAAGAAGGCAACATGAAAAACTGGATGAAACTTGAGATGACTGGGAAGATCCAGTATATAGGCCAAACTGTCAATCCTCATTGTTAAAAGGAAAGGGTCGTCATAGCGCTGGATTAGTCCCTTGTGTGTAGACTTTTGAGAGATCTTGTTCTAGATTGGTGGGGTCAATTTCAGCATTACTTTGTCACCCACTTCGAACTCTATTGCCCTCCTCTTCTCATTTGGCCACTTTTTCATTTTCTTTGCCGTCTTAGTTAAACAGTCTTTTGCCTCGTCGATCCGCTCCTGATTAGCCCGAGCAAAGCAGTATGCTGCAGGTAATCTCCCTTGAGACTTCTGCTTGACAACTTCATACGGGGTAAGAGGTTGTTGGCCAGTTGTCAACTCAAATGGGCTCATTCCAGTGGAAGAGCTCTGTTGGAGGTTATAATTGAATTGGGCTACATCAAGTAAATCCACCCAATTGTCCTAGTTTGCTGTGACATTGTGTTTGAGATATTCCTCCAGCATTGCATTAATTCGCTCGGTCTACCCATCTGTCTGTGGATGATTGCTGGTAGAAAGGTGGAGCTGTGTGTCCAACGGTTCAAATAAAGTCGTCTAGAATCGGCCAGTAAATCGAGTGTCCCTGTTGCTGACTATATCCAGTGGAAGACCCCAAAGCTTCACAATATACTTGAAGAACAACTGAGCAGTAACTTCCGCCATACATACTTTGGGGCAGTAATGAAAGTGGTATACTTCAAAAATCTGTCTACAACCACAAATATCGAAGTAAAATCGTTCACCTGAGGCAAGCCATTAATGAAGTCCATGGAAACACTCTCCCAATGTCTACTTGGAATAGGGAGGGATTCTAACGTACCCGCCACCTTCTTCTTTTTTGTCTTGTCTTGCTGGCACACCAAACAAGTGCGCACATACAGCTCCACATCTGCTTTTATACGAGACCAATAATAGCTTTCTGCTAGCAAGGTAAGAGTCCGTTGCTGCCCTGAATGTCCTGACCACGAAGCATCATGAGTTTCTTTCAGTAACATCTGTCGAAGTCCGCCTGACTTCAGAACATAGGATCTCCTTCCTTTAGCGTAGAGAACACCATCCTTTACCCAAAATTGTCAAGTCACCCCTTCGTGAACCTGCTTCAACAATAAGCTGGTCACTTGATTATCTTTTATTTGATCCTAAATTCTCTGCAATATGTCTCCTGTAATCTGGCTAAGTGCAGCAATTGTCCCATCAGCAAACTGGGATTCAACTAAGAGCATCAGCAACCTGATTTGCACTGTCAGGCTTGTACTGCAACGTGAAATGAAACTAGGCAAGGAAGTCCTGTCATCTTGCTTGTTTTGGTGTCAGCTTCTTCATGGAATAGAAGCAGCTGATAGCCACATTATCTATCAGTACAAGGAAATGTTTTCCCAACAAGTAATGCCTCCATGCATTGATGTAGTGAATGATTGTTGTCATCTCCTTCTAATGTATTAAATACCGCCTCTCGGTATCATTCAACTTGCTACTTTCAAATGTCGTCGAATGCTCATTCTGCACCAGCACCCCTCTAAGAGCAAAGTCTGATGCGTCTGTATGGACCTCAAAAGGCAAATCAAAGTCAGATAACCGTAAATTTGGGCTAGACGTCACCACCGCCTTCAATCGATTGAATGCCTCCTGGCATTTGTAGGACCAGTTCCATATCCTATCCTTCCTTAGAAGATCAGTCAGCACCGCAACCTTCTTTGAATAATTCTTCACAAATTTTCGATAATAGTTTGTCAAACCAAGGAAAGAACGCAGTTCAATAACCTAGTAGGGACAAGCCAATCTGCAATGGCCTCAACTTTCTTTTGGTCCATCTTCAACATGCCCGCATAAATAATATGCCCAAGGAATGAAATTTTCTTCTGTGCAAACTCATATTTTTCTAGTTTCAGATACAACTGGGCTTCCCTCAATTTTGTCAAAGCTAACCTAAGATTCTCAACATGCTCCTCAAGAGTCTGGTTGTAAACAACTATGTCATCCAAATAAATTACCATGAAACGGTCTAAGTATTCCCGAAATACGTTGGTCATCAAGTTACAGAATGTAGCAGGGGCGTTAGTTAAGCCAAAAGGCATGACTAAAAACTCATATGACCCGTACCTTGTCACACAAGCAGTCTTCGCCTCATCTCCCTCTGCAATTCTGACTAGATGATATCCCAGTCGCAAGTCCACCTTGGTGAAGAAAACTACTTTTCCCAATCTATCAAATAATTTGTCAACAAGCGGCATTGGATAGTTGTTCTTGACAGTGACTTTGTTAAGGGCTTTGTAGTCTACACAAAGTCATAAGAATCCGTCCCTTCTTTTTTTAAAATAGAACAGGGGCTCCATAGGGTGCCTTGGAAGGTTGAATGAACCCAATGTCCAATAAACCCTCAAGTTGTCTCCTTAGCTCCGCCAACTCTAATGGACACATTCGATAAGGAGCCTAGGCAGGAATTTTTGCCCCTAAAATCAACTCAATGGCATGATCAATCTCCCGTCTTGGCGGTAACCTTGTTGGCAATTCTTTAGGTGCCACGTCCTTGAACTCAACCAACAACTATTGCACTGGTTCAGGGACTTGTAATGCTTTGGACTCTTCTTCCTTAAATAGAACAGTCAAGTATGTTGCTTTCTCCCTCCGCAAGCCATCTTTTACTTGCAAGGCAGACAACATTTCCTCCGAACACTTGGCCTTAGTGAGGGGAACAAAGCAGGGATTGGGCATATCCATCACGAACATCTCATGTAAAATACGGCATAACAGACACCTTTGTCTTTGTAAGGAATTGCAGTCCAAGGATTACCTGAAAATCATCGAGAGGGACTACCATAAAATCACGTGGTCCTTACCAATCACCAACTTTTAAAGGAACTTCTCTTGCGACGCCGCCTACTGGTTTTGCCTCTGAATTAACAGCCTTAATCTGGCTAAAGTCTTTCACCAAAGCCAGACCAAGCCGCTGTACTTTTCGGTCAGAAACAAAATTATGGGTTGCACCTGTTGCCTGGACAGCCATATTATTACGGCGAATCTGCACAAACATCAACTCCCTCTTTTTCACCGTCTCCTCTTTGCGAATTGCATTAAGGAGTTGTAATAGGTTGACTCGTGTTGGTTTGTCAGAACAGTCAGTTTCCTCAGCCATAAGGGCACTAAGTTTTTCCTTTTGGGGGCAATTTTTGGCACGATGAGAGCCATTACAGATAAAACAGCCTGAGTCAGCACCTCCCTTTGATGAAGAGGTTTTGTCAGTCAATTTTTCTAAATTGTCAGACTTCTCAGTCTTTTTCTTCTGTTTGTCCTTCTTAGAAAACTTGGCTTTCCCTTTTGACTCATTCTCTGGAGGGTTAGCCTGCGTTTTGTAGTCAACCAGCGCATCTGCTGCAAACATAGCAGCGAGTAAGTCTTTCACCCCTTGCCAACGAAGTTCTACCTGTGCCCAAGTTTGGAGGTCAGACATAAAGTTGAACAACTTGTCTTCCTCTGACATATTTTTGATGTCAAGCATCAAAGACGAGAATTGCTTCACGTACTCCCTCACGGTGCTTGTATGTCGAAGTTTCCTCAATGCATCACAGGCATGCCAAGCTGTGTTGCTGGAAAGGAATTGTTCCTTCATTTCAGCAGACAGAGACTCTCAAGTAGTAATTGGAAGACGAGATTTAACCTCAGAACGTGTTCGCCA